CAGCCATTTATTGCAGAAAGAATCAACTGCACTACTTCTTCCTAAGGTTGATCAAGCTGACACAATTATGGGACTTTTACGTGCAATTGCAGGACGACCTGGCTGCTTGGGGGTGATACAGGATGGTCAAGGATTATTTGAAACAGTGAGTCTTGAGCATTCCCTCTCGATTTATAAATTGGAGGGAAAGCAACAAGCAACTCTGGCCCGCCATGGGGTTTGCCACTTTGATCAACAGATTTATGAGCAGAGTACGCGCTGTGACGAGGTGCACATTTGATGTGGGTGGCTCACACGCCGCACACCGATTCCTGGCATGTGCCGCTGTTTCGTTTTTGTGTTGGGGTGCCATGGCGCCACAGAAGAAGTTGAAGAATAAGTTCTTTTTTTCATCATCTGGGACAAGCCGGCCGCCATGGCCATGAAGATGTTCAAGGATGCACCTTCTGCTCATCTGACCTCATGCTACAAGCTCACCATGCAGGCGCCGCCATTCTTCGCCTGCACTCCCGCGCAAGGGCAGGGTGCTTTGGCTTTGGCTTCGTGCAAGCTCTTAGTGGGATTCGGTGTCACACTTCACACTTGCTCTTTGGTGCAGCAAGGCATAGACGCGAATTGTCTTGATCGGAGCATTGTTTTATGCCGCCACACGCGCTCACCTTGACACCGCTCTGACCTTGATCGAGGGCCATTCGCGGTTGGGCGTGGTGAACCTGGGGCCCGAACATTGTCCAGGTTGCAGCGAAGGAGATTGCACCCAGACTTCAGGAGGCGGAGATTTGCCTCCGCCGCCCAGTTTTCGCAGCTATGCCTGTCGCTCCCCCTTAGAAGAGGAGGCCTTGCGAGAGGCTGGCCGGCGAGGTTGTGCAGGGCGGGAAGCTGGAAGCCAAGCCTGAACCGCAGACTTCATTTGCAGAGGCGGGGGCTACGCCGTGGTGAATCCCGGCTTTGTGTGGGGAAGCACTTCATAGCGGACTATGCAAGGAGAAGTGGTTTGCAGACGTGGCTCACTACTGGTGCAGGAACGTGGGTGTCATCGATGACTCGTACAGCCTCCTCACGGCCCGATCAATGTCATCCAGGCTGTGCTGTCGGGACAAAACCCCATCGATGATATTTTTGGATACATGCAATGCATGGATCAGAAGGATGAGCAAAAGCTGAGCATTTCTTACCTTAAGGTGGACTCTGCTCATCAGAGCGAAGATCTATGTGCCATGCTCATCCGAGCCGCTGAGGAGTATAGTCATAAATGAGTCATAAACTCGTCTGGACGTGCGCCACCACCGGGCTCTCCGTGCTGAAAGCGAGCACCCGCGCCGTGAGATGTTATGCAAGGTATGGCTTCAAGCTGGATGGTCAAGCAACCAAGCAACCTGGGGAGCCGATGAAAGGGAGGCCTCAGCAAGGCAAAGGTAGCAAGGCAAAGGTGGACAGAGATCCAGCCTCACGCGCCAAAGAAGCACATGGTCTGAGAGATGAGGATGGCCTAGGTGGGATCAAGTATCAAGTGGGCAGTACCAAAATCGCGGGGATGCCTGAACCGGCAATATTTCACATGTGAATGCGGGGAATCAACTCAGTTCTTGGCAATGGGTCACTGTGGTATCCCTCCACATGCAAAACAACAATTGGGTTGATCGAAGCTCGGGAAGAATGGTCAAAACCATGGTCTTGGGAAAGCTCGCTGGCTCGATTGGCAGAACTTGGCTTCATAGATACTAGATACTCACTAGCTCGCACATGGCCACTGTCCTTCTGAACATGATGCCTGTGCGACACCACATTTATTCTAATTATGTGTGTTGGCACTTGGAGGGCTTCCTTGGCAGTAGCTGTACCGACCACAAGGAGTTGGATTTTTGGCCCGACATGGCCGGAGCTTGGACCGGACGAGTCGGAAGGGGCAAGTCCTTGCAGGACCTCCGCAAGCAGCAAGAGCTGCAGGAGGGCGGTGTAGTGGCTGCTCGCCTGGTGGGGGCCTTGGGCAGCTTCACCTAGCTTCACCTCCGGCCTCATCGGCCTCACGTTTCCCCCAGTTTCAACGTCTTGGGCATGAGAGTCCCTTGTGGCGTGATGTTTGAAGGGGAAAGAAGAAAGCAAGCCCTGAGGCCTTTGAGTGTTCCTGCCAATTCCTCTTTGCAACCTTCCTAGCGGTGACTTGGAGAAAGCTGAAGATGCTGGGGGTCGTGTCTTGTCTTGTAGCAGGTTTTCACGCAGGTTCAGAGCGCCAGGTTCGCGCATCATTTCCAGAACAGGTGGCCAAGCATGGGGGTCAGTCAGTTTGGCTCATCCAAATAGTGGGAATCATGGGTGTGTTTCAAACACATACATTTGACCAGGTTTCGCACAGGCTCACCTAGGCGAAGAAACATGTTGGTTTGGCACGCTTTGACCCAGCAACGATTCAAAGTGGCTTCACCTGCACTACATTGGTCAAGCACACCCTGACTGCTTCTTCCAACTGATCTTAAGACATATGCACCAGACAAAAAAATCTCGAGACTGACAGAAAATGGCCATCCAAGGTTTGAAAAGAAACTAGTTGATGATCATGTTCGATTGGCATGATGAAGGGTTGCGAGATTTACCTGGCTTCCCCAGACAATATTTTATCATTTGAGGCATGTCCAGTTGTCGCTTTGCAGTTTGCTTTCCGTTGATTGCACAGCTTGACGCAGCACACTAGACACAGCGCACCTGGCACGGTATGCCCTTTCGCTTTCGCTTGGCATCGCCCTGAGAATCGGGGGCCGGCTGTTGGCTGCTGCGATGGCTGCTTTCAATGCGGTCCGCTGGTGAAATATATGGGCCATTCTACCAGCTGGCTCCTTTTTCTCTGGTGCTTCTTGGGATGAGCCTACCGTCTACCACTACCATTGAAAAACAGATTCCGGAGTATGTTCGAAATGAAACTACGAGGGGGCCGCCCATTTCATTTGGAGAGCCCGAACCCCAAACAGGGCTGCCTTAGCGATGAAGGCTGCCTTAGCGACGAAGGCACACAGGCTCCCCCAGACCCCAGACAGTGCAGCCTAGCCCACTCGCCACCTATGCGTTTCCCACCCATTCCCTTATTCCCTTGCTAGCGTTCCAGTGAGTCAGTTTCTCAGGTCGCCGCCGCCAGCGCTGCCGCCTGCGCCGCCTGCGCGCAGGCGGTGCCGCTGGAGCCATCGACCATTGAGGCGACGGGGGTCTGCTGAGCATGGACAAAGCAACGGGAACAACATCCAGGTTTGAACTTGTAACTTCTCTTGGCCCGCAGCCGGAGCACGAAATCCAGTAGGCAAAACTGCCTCCGAAAATACAGGAAAGGCCAAGCTGCTCCTCAACCTGCATCCCTACACATCTCTGTTGACAGCAAAGAATGATGGATCCTGGGCAAAGAAAAGGATGCGGCACTGTGCAACTTCGTTTTGTCTGTTGCGCTGATGTCCATCAACCACTCAAACGGATTCTAGCTAATGTAAGGGTTTTGTGCAGGTTCCTACTACAACAAAATGGCCTGAGTATGGGACATCTGGCCCTTCAGGCTGGCCACGATGTGTTGGATCAGCTTCCGGCAATGCCGGAGATCTCTGAGCTGGTCAAGGACTGCGACTTGTCCCAAGTGGGTCAGGCTGCCTCAGCCCCTGGTGTTTGCTGGAGGCTCTTAGCAGATGGCCACTGCGAAGTGGATTTTGTGACACTGGCCGTGTGACTCAAAAGACAGAACCTGGGCTTAAGCAAGAGCATGCAGCATGGGGACAGCCAAACTCAATTCTGGTCTTTTTGTGGTGCTTGCGTTTGTGGAGCCTCAAGTGCATGGGCCTTCATGGATGGTCTGATTATGTGTCCAAATGAGTACATTGCGCACGACTTCGCTGTTCACACGTTGAGTCCTGACATTCCAAGCCCCTTTTGCTTTCAAACTGCACCAACTGAGATTTCCTGGGAGTTTTCTCCCCGAGTATTTCTTGGAGTCTGATTGGCAGTGCTCATGGCAGGAGATGGAGCAAGCTGCAGCTTGCGGCCCTGGAGAGGAGACGGTCCTGGGCCCAAAGCGCAGCCGCCGTTGTGCATTTGATCAAGGACGCTGGAATTCTTGCCATGGGGGTTGTCTCTGAGTGGGAGAGCATGGGTGGGTTCCCTTTGGTTCCTCTTTGAGACACTCCTCAAGGGGTACTCTCAACACCAGACACACTCATAAAATTTTGTTCTTCTGTCAACCACCAATCTCCTACGGGGCATAGTTGTCCGTAGAACGATTTGCCAGTTTGTTCTCAGTCTGTGTGGCGTGTGGTGTCGTGGGCATAGGTGGACCACATCAACAGTCTACTGGCGGAGATCCCGCCGGAGGAGCTGCCAGCACCAACCACCAGCGCGCGCCCCAGCGGTGTGCAGTCTGCCTCTCAGACTTGTCTCGTGGACTCACAGGAAGTTGACGGGAGGGCACTGGCTCATGAAAAATCACCAGGGAGCTATGAGAGTTGAGACTTTGGGCAGAAGTAGTTGGGTGTCTCTGTCCGAGGTCGATTTTATCGGGGAAAACCAGAGGACGCCCACCATGCCTTTCTGTCTCGCCCACCCACGAAAGGATTTGATGGCACCATGTCGTGCATTCAGAGTCTTTGGCCCGAGGTGTGGACACGCAGGTCATTCTGAGTGATTCTTCGGAGGCTCGCGTGCGGCTTCAGACCAACGTGGTGGCCTGGACCTTGGGCATCCTGGGAGAAGTTTGAGCCACAACCCAAATGCCCAACAAAATTAGGCGAGAACCAACATTTCCCAAGTCCACTTCGGAAAATGAGTAATATTGACCGTGGCTGGTATCTCCTGCCCACCAGAACGGCTTGATAATCCGGACTCTGCCCCCAAGCAGGTTCCAAGAACCTTCCGGGTGGGGAGGGGCCTTTGGCTTGTCCCCTACCGCCCAAAGTATTTTAGGGGATAGTTTGCCGATGGGTTTGATCCTGAATGGGGACCCTCGAAACAGCCTGGAGTTCCCAGAAGACCAAGCCTTTATGGCTACACTCAAGAAGAGAAGCGTCCAAATGGATGCACTCAGTTGACGATGCATGTTGGGGCATATAGAGTCACGCGCACCAAGGATCGTCCTGACGAGGCGCAGCCGCGATTGCACAGCTTTCCATTGGGTCAGGCGAATGGGGAGATGCGAGTTGGTGAATGGGCATGTTCAATAGGAAATCTCCCTTTGGTTTGTCAGGAAGCCTGACTCATATCCAGGCAGACTGCAGTTATAGAAGCCAAAATGACACTAGCTCGGTGTCGGCTGCCAGGCGGTCCCAGCCTTGGTCCTGGAGCTTTGGGCAAGAACCCCAGGCTATACATCACAGGAATTCGATCTGGAATGCGTCATGTTTAGGATAGCAGCGATGCAAGTGTGAGATACTGGGAACACAGCAAATAACGTTCATGTTTTTGCATTGGTTTGTGTGCTCGAGGCCTGCTCTGCCTGCCTTGGCTCTGCACTCAGCACGCCAGCTTTCCAGCCTGCGAAGGCGTCATTCGTTGACGAGATCCAGAAGTGGTTAGCCAGAGCGCATGATAGCCATTCTCGAGCCATGAGCGATGTGGCTTCGTAACTTCGAGCATGCATTTGATCAGACAAGCAACCGCGGCTATTGTAGCAATTTTGTTTTCTTGCAGAGTCAGAGTAGTTTCGAGACAAACGATCTATCCCTTGTACGCCCGGTCACTGGGCTTCCTGAAGCTGTGGTCCAAAGACCTGCGGCATGCAGTTCTGACCACCAAGTTTGACCAAAATTGGAGAAACCGGTCCAGTTTCCGCGGATGGCATTCGAGTGTTTGGCCAAATGTGCTGAGGCATAGAGGCCAGCCCAATGGCTTCGCAGCTGGTATCGCAGGCTCAAAGGGACACGGACAGCAGATGCCTTGATCCGCATGGCGGTGTTTGCGAGAAACTAACCCTATCATTTGCGTCTTCATGTTGGTGCTCGAGGCTATGTTCCTGCCAAGTTTATCTTTCAGCATGACTTGTTTGGAGGTGGCTTGTCTTGAGACCCAGCAATTCTGTACTTGATACATGTGCAAAGATGCGCAGGTTGATTGCTCCAAAGTCATCGACATCGTGCAGCCCAACCGGCCTTGTTGTCATTTGGGACTGGGCTTCACTTATTCAATTTTCTGACAATTGTCAAATAAGAGCCGGGGAAGCTGCTTGCGGCATTCCAGCACTTTCTTGCATGAGTTCAGGGTGAGCTCATGCAAGGCACGGACCTTTGTCCGGTGATTTGGTCTTCGAGATCTTGCTAATTCCCGGTGCCTTGCCTAACATTGAGTTCGGGGAGGTAGCTGCCAACCATATACAGCACGGAAACCATTTGGTTGCTCAGGGTTTGGAAGGATCGCCCCAGGTGCAGACTTTCTGCAAGTGGATCCCCGCTCTCTGGCGATTGCGAACACCGCAGCTCGAGAGGGTGCAGTGGCCACGCTTTTAGCATGCTGGGAGTTGGTGGGAGTTGGCAGGACCAGTGGACATGTGGTTGGGTGGCTTTCAAGATGCAAGATCTAGCCGGCGGGGCAAGCTGCAAGCATGAGGCAACATAGGAGCGTTTGCAGGCATTTGAAAAGGAGGTGCAGACCACAGAGGCAGATCTTCAACTCAACTTCTAGCGGCCAAGCTAAGCTTAACAACAGGACTGCAATGAACCCTGCTAATTCAGGCGGCCAACCATTGGAGCCATGTGACACTCAGCCAGGCGAGCGGCATGGACCCAGTGAGCTGCGCGGCGCTTAGCTTCTGGATTCCGCGCTTCGGCTCGATTCAAAATTCGGCTTTGAGGAGGCACCAGTCCAAGCTGGTGGATACACGGCAACAACCGTCTTTGTTCACCGAGGAGCATCCGGTTTGTGCGATGTTCGTTCTTGCCAATGCTGTTCTTGATGCGAGGAGTCGGCAGAACGAGGACAGGGTTTGTTCTCTTTTTGACGGAATGCTGTAGGCGCATGCCTTTGCGAGCCTGAGGACCTTTGTCCTGTCAATGCACGTTCGCACAAGCTCCCGCCTGGAGAAAACGCGAGGCCAGCAAGACAGCAAGAGCACGGTAGAAAGGCAGCCGAAGAGTTCGCCAGGCTGCAAACTTCTTCGACGAGCTAAGGATTCTGACCCAATTTGTGCAGCCAAAAGAGTCAAACAGCTGATGCAGAAGAAGCTGCAGCATTCTTGCCTGCATGGTGAACAGCTCCTGATCGACCTTGACGTGTTTTCGCTTTCAAGGCTGCGTGTTTTATGCGACGCTTGCCATGGCTGCTATGGGAACTCGGCACAGCGTTTTGGCGCGTGGCCTCAGAGCCGCAAGGGTTCCTCTGGATCAGCCAGGGCTCGGCTCTGCCGCCGGCCTGGCTGACCAAAGCCGCGCGCGATGAGGAGACCTTTGTCCTTTGGGGAAGCTTCGGCAGCTGCGAGCGCACCTTGGACCTGCCGAGGTTCTGGCATGTTTGCCTACCGCAGGTTCAGTGGAGCTTCGGCAGCCCGGTGAAGGGGAACCTCACCTACACCCCGGGCAGGAACTTGATGTATCGCCACGCCCTGCAGCTGGAGGAGCAGCAAGGGAGGTTTCTGTACTTGATTTTCGCGGACGACAGCGGGGAGTTTGTGCTGCACCGCTGCTCCACGAGCGCGTGCGGGGATCTGGACATCCGACCGGACTCGGAGTCGGAGTCGCCCATGACGTGGTTGGTCTGCGGTGTGACCTTTAACTGTTTTTGACCTTTTGGCAAATGCTTACTCACCAGCAAAGATTCTGCTTGTCGTAGGGGTCAGCTCACCCAGATGAGGTTCTTCCAGCGGCTGCTGGCGCACGACATGCCAGCAGTGGCAACTCCTCTCAATGACATCGACGACTCTCAGTGCTTCAGCCCATTGGAAATGCGGGTTTGCACCTCATCGCTGGACCACAAGGTGATCGCCTTCCACGCGTCCGCCCATGAAATGCTCCTCCCCTACGAGGAAGCTTGGGCAAAAATTGCTTCGGATTCATGTTCCTTGGAAAAGCAAAATGACAACCCTTAAACTTAAGACTGAAGCGAGAGGAGGGCTTCGAGCGCGTCTCTTTGTTCGCCTCCCAGTGTGCGGTGAACGAAATCCTGGACTCCGCCTTCGAGGGCCTGGCGGTGAGGTACCATGGCCACTCGGGGATGTTGTCCAACCCTCCAAGGAGTTTTTGTCATGTACCGGGGTCGGGTAGAAGTTGTTTGAAAACCATGCCTGGTCCCCTTCTGCTGGAAGGCAAACGGAGGTTCTTTTTCAACAGCGGTTGTAGATATGGGTGTGCGCCCTGTTGAAGGTTGGTTAAAGGAAGCCAACAGGAAAACCGCCATTCTTGGGGTCCCCGTTTGACACATGTGAGGTACCGCGCCTTCCGGCGCCCCGAAACTTCGGGCTCTTCGTTCCCCCACATGCGACCTCACTACGTGCGGAACCTGGAGCCCTGCCTGCCGCAGGCGAGTGGGAAAGACGCAGAACACAAGAAAGAAGAGGTTTTCGGCATGGGATGGAAAACTGTAAAACGCCTTTTTGAGGCGGTTTTTGCGGCGCTTTTGGCATTGTTCTCTTAAACCTCCGTGAGCGAGTGAGCAAATGAAGTGGTTGAAGGACGAGCAGTGTCTTGAGAAACCCATGTTGACAGAGTCTCTTTGTTTTGAAGATCGCCCTGTTGAATCCGCGGCAGGTTGACGGCAACGGCAACTTCGGGGACAGCTCGGTGGTGCGTTGGCTGCGGCCCCAGCTGCAGCATTGCGCCGCAGAGCAGTTGGGGCCCTCGCACCTGCTGCAGGCCAGGGTTGCCCTTTCTAGGCCTCATCGAAAAAGTTGGCTGGGGTTAAGGGACGAGCAAACGAGGGGATGTCATTTACCCCTTTCTTGGATAGAAAGATGTCTGGCCCGCAAAGTGTGCAAAGTGTAGGATAGTGTAGGTTTCTGGCCAAACTCCCGAATAAGGGGGCAAAAAGGAAGCCTGCAGGCCGGGTGCCAGTTCGGGGTGAGGTCCGGAGACAAGTGCCGCCTCCCCGGGAAAGCGCTGGCAGCTTGGCAGATGGTTGCCAAGCCTTTTGCGTGCAGGTTGGTTGGAGGGGTTGAGGAGAGCTGGGTAGGTTTGGGGGCCTGGGGCGGTTTCGGGATTCCGGTGGAAATTTCCGTGGGAGAAGGCTTCCTTGGGTCACTCGACAACTTGAGGACTTGGACTACAGCCGCTTGAGTTGCTTCCCTTGGGCCCGCAAAGAGACCTGCAATGCGACGCCGTCGGCTTTGGATTTGGCGTCGGTTCCGAAGGCAGGGGTCCACGCATGTTCCCATCCCATCTAGGATGTATCAGACCATGGCTGGTTGAAATGGACCTGGGTTGAGGGCATAGTTCCTCTGGGCAAAAAAAGGTGTTTCCAAAAATGAAAAGGTTCCCAAGTTGTTTGCCTTTGCTTTCTCGAAAGATGCCGGGATTTAGGGAGCCACGGGAAAGTGTCAAAACTGGGGTTCGCTCCTCCCATTTCAAGCCCCTAACATGGCCACAGTTGTCAAAGCCCTATGTTTGACATATTCTCCTTGTGCTGTCATTGCCAGAGGTTCGCCAACCTTCTTAACTTCTCGCCTCTTTGGGCTCTCTGCCTCCCAGCCCACAACAACTTTTCGGTTTTTCCCCGGCTTCTCGGGCGATTCGCAGGCCCCGCGGGCCTCGGGCATCTTCCACGTGCTGCGCCTGAGCCGCGCCTTCGGCAACGGCGCAGGGATTCGGCGGACACGCTGCGAGGACTGCGCCGCGAGGCGACTTTGTGCGCTGGGGACGCCCGGCGTATCTGTGTTTCTCAAACATAGAGATCGGGGCCCCTTATGGTGATGTTGTGCGTGTTTTTTTGAAAATGGGCTTCCCTTGAAAGCCAATCCAAGGTGGGTCCACCAGTTTGAGAACAAACATGTGACTGTGATTTCCTCTATGTGTTGGGGTTATGAGTCTGAGTTGAAATGCAACACCCTTGAACATGATGGAATCTTCATATACATTTGGGGGGCCTTCAACTGTTTTTCTTTGACAGACCAGACATGGGTATGTCTCACTGAGGATTTTGGCGGAAGCATGTTCCCACAGCAATCACCAACATATTATGTTTTAAAAGCGTCAGGGGTTCAGTAGGATGGTGACCATGCTACATTTTGTTTCAAGCGTTCGTGTACCGCGTCCTTGGACACATGCATGGGCTGTGTCATGCAGCTGGTTTCGATGTGAGGATGAGGAACTTCTCTTCATTGGTTAGCTCCATGGACGACCCAGACTGGAAGAGCGACTGGGAAGCGCTGGACTCTCACCTTGAGGCAAGATGGATAGCTAAGGGATTCTCCCAAATCAGACCCCAGTGTTGTTGGAAGTTAGTGTTCTTTTCAAACCGGAGTTGGTTATGACCAGTAGCCCGTCACTTGGCGAAGCATCCAAGCCTGGGCGAGGCTCAGCTCAGAGCTGAGAGGAGGGAGGTGGATCACGACTGCGATGTCTGCTCTGGCTTGCTGCTGGGTGCTTACGTCGCCTTCGTGGACGTGAACTTCTTGGCCCGGAATTTGCGAGCCTGGGAGGAGAGCGGCAACGCATCGCGGAGCTTCTGGAACTGGTGGTGGTGCATTGCGGCGTTCCTGCACCAGAACTTCATTGTTCTCTTCGAGCATGGCGCCGTGGCGCCTTTTGACATGCTCGCGCAGTTGACAGAACAGCTGGATGAGAGGCGCCCGAGTCGTGCAGTGATGAGTGGATTCACTAGTGATCCGAGTGTACTGACTCCGCAGTGAGCTGATTCAAATGATGGAAGAGATGTTGTCGAATGCTGGCTATGTTTCCGGATCGGATCCTGGCACAGGCCTGGTGCCAGTGATGCTTCTGCTGTTTTGCGGCTGGCCGCTGACGATCGGCCTTTCTTGAAGATCAATCCCTCATCGCAGTGCCGGGCTTGAGAAGTGGAGGTTTGTTGAGATGCACATTGCCATGAGTGTTTGAGTGATGTTTTCAGGTGCTATTTGGGCAGTGCTGTCCGACACCTCCTAGATGCCCAACAGGAGCGTCCGGTCTCGTCTCAGCTTGTCAGCTTCTCAGCTTGTCTATTTCTCCATTTGAGCCACAGGACCCAGCATGGAGCCAGGGCCACATCTTCGCGGCCCAGCACTACTTGGCTCACTGCGACCTCACGGAGCTTGGCCGCGCTGGCGCGCTGTGGCGCCTCTTCGGCGCCGCGGGCCGCGCGCTTCCCCCGTCGGCGGCGCCCGTGGGGGTCTGTGGGGCGCGGTTCCGCAGGGTTCGGCGCTTCCGGGCGCGGCGGCCACGGGCGGCGTGGCTGAGCCGCAAGGAGAGCCAGAGCGCGGAGCGGGCGGCGATCCTGCAGCTCATCTGAGAGAGCTTGGAAAAGAGCGGAGTCTGACCGCATTGGGACAGAGCCAGTCTCTGACGCATCAGAGAGCCGGGGTGAAGAGTTTTCCAGGGCCAAGTAAAAGGGGGAGCTTCTCTTGCTTGCAGCTTCTTTTCTGTTCAAGCAGACTTTTTTGATTCATTGTTCACCCGAATCATCTAAAGCCAGCATGCCGCGGACGTGAACGGGCCATGCTTTTCTGATGTAGAGCCCCGGCCGCCATGTCTGATGGGAATGCTGAGATCAGCACCCCAAGGCCGCTCTGTTCGCGAGCTGACTGATTGTTTGCTTTTATTTTCTCAGTTGCATCCATGGGGCAGGCGGAGCCAGCGCTTGCGCTCTGCTCTCCAAGAAGGTCGCGCTGGCTTCAGGCCTGCTATGTGCCTAAATCTTGCGGCAGCACAAACAGAGGCTTTCATGCGCTAGCCCTGAACAACTGCATGTCATCACAGCCAGTTCTGTGCTGAAGAGTGCTTCTTCGACTGAAGCCAAGCAGCGGGAGACTTAGCAGACTCGGAGGTGGCTGTTGATCATTTCAGTCAGCTATGCGCTCGTTGCAGACTCATTTGAAGCTTATGCCTTATGCATGGCAGTGATGACTGTGCTGGTGGCGGTGATTGCAATGACTACATGATAATGATATGATGTGCCGCCGCCAGCGTGATGATGATGACGATGATGATGATGATGATGATGATGATGATGATGATGATGATGATGATGATGATGATGATGATGATGATGATGATGATGATGATGATGATGATGATGATGATGATGATGATGATGATGATGCTGCTGATGATGATGATGATGATGATGATTATGATGATGATGATGATGATGATGATGATGATGATGATGATGATGAAGCTGATGAAGCTGATGAAGCTGATGATGCCGGCAGGATGTTATTTCAACACATCACGTCAGGGTATCCTGAACGCAAGCAGGACAACATTCTAGTAAAACCCCATTGCACGGCATATGAGTCCCTGTCAAAATCATGTTGCAAAGATGGACACTTCTCCCTGCTGGTGTATGATGTCAGACAAATTATGAATTCGTAATGAGGCCTTGAGTTGGACTTTAACAAGGGCTGAACTGTCAGACTGTCTAGCCATTGCATTGTTTTACTCTATATGTTTGGCAGTTCAGTGCACAACTTTACTTGGAGGTGCGGTGCGTGCCTGCTGGAGATTGACACGGTCAGCACTTGCCTTGATAGACTGATGTTTTGCCTCCATGCGCCTGAAAAAACGAATACAGTTGAGGCAGAGATGGCGAATTCGTGGCCATTCTGGACGCTTGCCAGCCAGCACACTTCTTCCACGTGAGGCACGGGGATGCTTTTCTGCGTGTTTAACGGGATCATCTTACGCATTAAGTCAATCCCACCCCCGTGCACTTTTTCAAGGCAGCCAACGACAATTTGCTGGCTTGTCTGCTGGTGCAGCAGGTGCATTTCCACCTGGGCCGCGCAGGAGAACACCTGCCCTTTGTGCGGAGACTTAGCCACTGCCAGATCTGTGTCAACCAGCAAGTGAGCACGTCTCCCATCAGGGGTGCTATATTATTTAGGGAATTTTCTCCCGCTGGAATTTGTTTTTTTTTACGTCCCTCGGGCAAGCAAGCAAGCAAGCAAGCAAGCAAAGCAAGCAAGCAAGCAAGCAAGCAAGCAAGCAAGCAGCAAGCAGCAAGCAGCAGCAGCAAGCCAGCAAGCCAGCAAGCCAGCAAGCCAGCAAGCCAGCAAGCCAGCAAGCCAGCAAGCCAGCAAGCCAGCAAGCCAGCAAGCCAGCAAGCCAGCAAGCCAGCAAGCCAGCAAGCCAGCAAGCCAGCAAGCAAGCCAGCAAGCCAGCAAGCCAGCAAGCCAGCAAGCCAGCAAGCCAGCAAGCCAGCAAGCCAGCAAGCCAGCAAGCCAGCAAGCCAGCAAGCCAGCAAGCCAGCAAGCCAGCAAGCCAGCAAGCCAGCAAGCCAAGCAAGCAAGCAAGCAAGCAAGCAAGCAAGCAAGCAAGCAAGCAAGCAAGCAAGCAAGCAAGCAAGCAAGCAAGCAAGCAAGCAAGCAAGCAAGCAAGCAAGCAAGCAAGCAAGCAAGCAAGCACAAGACAGCCAGCCAGCCAGCCAGCCAGCCAGCCAGCAAGCAAGCAAGCAAGCAAGCAAGCAAGCACAAGACAGCCAGCCAGCCAGCCAGCCAGCCAGCAAGCAAGCAAGCAAGCAAGCAAGCAAGCAAGCGCGCGCAAGGCAGCCAGCCAGCCAGCCAGCCAGCCAGCCAGCCAGCCAGCCAGCCAGCCAGTTAGTCAGCCAGCCAGCCAGCCAGCCAGCCAGCCAGCAAGCAAGCAAGCAAGCAAGCAAGCAAGCAAGCAAGCAAGAAGCAAGCAATGAAGACCCTGAACCCCCCCGGTATACTTTTTAAACACAACACCACCTACTCTACACCTGCCCCGACCCATCACAAGCACCCTAAACCTACCCTTAACACCCTGAACCACCCTAAATGTACCAAACATGCCTTGAACCCTAAAACCGCACACCCTAAACACCCGATCCGAAACCTCACGAAACCCGCCTTTTTCCTCAACTCAACCAACCCAACCAAATTAAACTCCATCTTCCATCTGAACCGACCCTAGACCAATCCTAAACCGACCCACCGACAGCAACCGCAAACACCCTAGACCAGCCTCCAACCAACTCTAAGCCTACCCGTAAACCCACCTACACACCCGCACGCCGCCCTAATCCCACAACCCTGAACCCCTAAGCCAACCCTAAACGACCCTACACCCACCCCGAACAACTTAAACCAACTCTGAACAGACCCCTAAGCCCAACCTAAACCAACCCCCCAACGCGCCCTGAACCTGAACCCCCAAAAACCAAAACCAACACCCGCCCTAAACCAACCCTGAACACCTTAAATGGCCCTACAAGAGCCTAGGTGCCTGTCACTCAGCCTGCTTTCATTCTCCTGTCCTGTTTCACTAATCTAACCCGCCTGCCCCGACCCACATCAGACCCCAAACGCACCCCAAACCCGCCCTTGAACCCCCAAACCGACTAAATCCGCCTTTTTCAACGCAAACACAGCCTAGACCAGCCTCAAGCCAACCCTAAACCTACCCGTAAACCCAGTGCGCTCCACCCTAAACCCCACCCCGAACGATTTAAACACCCACCCTAAACCAACTCCCCAATGCGCCCTGAACCTGAACCCCCCAAAAACCAAAACCAACACCCGCCCTAAACCAACCCTGAACACCCTAAACCGCCCTACAAGAGCCTGGATGCCGTCACTCAGCTGGCTTTCATTCTCCTGTCCTGTTTCACTAAGGCACCGACAAGTATCCTCGTGAATGGCGGTTCATGCACCAAGGACCTCCTGGATGAGAGGAACCCCGAGCGTGCCCACCCCAAACCCATGCTAAACCGAACTAAACCCAACCTAAACCAACCCGAAGCCTACCCTATCTAAACCCACCTTACACCCACCTGAAACCCACCTTAACCCTTAGCTAAACCAATTTTGCGCCCAAGCTATCTCACCCTCTACCTAAGACCCCAACCAAACCCGCGCCGAACCCACCCTTAACCAGGCCCACCCCGAACCCCCAGCCACCCTAAACCCTAATCGCGCCCTAGACCCACCTTAAACCACTCCAAAGGTGACCGGGAAATGGAACGGATAAAATTTCCTAAAGGCGCTGGAAAAAAAATCCCGGAAAAAAAGGGCTGCTTGGAAGTGCCGCATGCATGACACGTGAGGTGCAAGCATCGTTTTGGCCGCATTGGGATTTATGGCGTTGATGGGGAATTGCGACGTCAAGCCCTCAGCAGAGGTGCCTTGCTTTTTGTGCCCATTTGTGACGACTCAGGAGTCTCCATTGTCGAGGAACGCGATCAACATGAGGGTGCGCTCTCTGTGTGTGTGTGTGTGTGTGGGTTGGGTCTCTTTTGTGGCTGAAAGTCAGCCTGGAACCAAGACCAAAAGTCATGAGTCGGGGCGGCTCATCGTTCCTCCCTGTTGCAGGCGAGCAGAACGAAAGCGACGAAGATGAGCCTGTCTGCAGCGTATGTCATGGCCTTTGCATGCTCATCCTCCTCTTTCCCCAGTTTTTACTGCGAAGGCCAACGGTCTGACGATGACGATGCCCTTCTTCTGTGTGATGGACAACATGGGCGATGCAGCGTGTGATGCCCGGCCCAGTACCCTTTCTAGGTCAGTTGTTTGCTCTCACAATCGACATGATCCGTGTTGCAAGGTGAGCAAATCTTTAGGGAGCTGAGAGCCGACTGGCAGGCAACACAAACACCATCCCAAGAACCCCATGATCTTATTTGGCATATTGCGTGTTGTGATGAGGTCTTCATGATATGATGCCTCCACGCCGCTTGTTTGGCCGAGGGAGCTGCACACTTCTACTGCATAGGGCTGCAGGGCACCTACAGAGCCATTTGCCTTTCTGTTCATTTCGGACAAGCGCTGGTCACTTGCGTATTGCCGTATTGCCACATTGCTCTGAGAGGTTTTGCCGACTTGCCCGCTGAGGCCGGGGGTTCCCGAGGGCGACTGGCCGCGCCCTCAGAAGCGCTGTGGAAGAGCAATGGCATTGGTATCGTTTTTCAATCTAACTGCGCAGCCAAGTGAGGTTGTCTTTAGCAGGGGAGGCTCCTGAAAAAGCTGAAGCCAAATCCATTCCCCAGAACAGCACGCCGATAGGAGGCTGAAGCTGAAATTGGGCCTCTGCCCTTGTAGAGAGCAGAGCCTACCACAGGTTCTGCTTGCGCTGCCAGGCGCGGCAGAAACCGCTGGCCCTTAACAAGTCTTACTAACTCGTCATTTTGGAAAAGGAAAAGGCGCCTGCATCTTTCTTCCTATCGGCCAGGAGCTTCCCCTGGTAGATGCCCTGGGTTCTCAGCCAAGCACCCAGCTGGATCCCCAGCCAGATTCCCAGCTGGCATTGCTGTCGGAGCAGAAAGCACAGCATTCGGAGCAGCAGAAGGCAGAGCCCAAATCAGAGCGGAAGGTGGCGCCCAAGGCAGAGCCGAAGGTGGCGCCAAAAGAGCGGAAGTTGGCGCCCAAAGCAGAGCCAAAGCCAAAGGCAAAGCCAGAGCCTGAAATCGAGATGCGCGTTACACCACCAAAACGTCGGCGGGAGTCGGAAAGAGGGCGAGAGCCGAAGCGTGTGAAGGAAGAGAAGGAAGTGAAGGAAGAGAAAGAAAGGAACGAGAGCCATGGCGGCCCTCGGCCTCGGAAGGATTCGAATTGGATCACCTGGACAGGTTCTTGCCTGCACGTGGAGCTGGGAGGGCGGCGCATCAAAGACAAGGCTGCTGCGGCAGTGGGCAAGCTGGTGAGCTCCGCCCTGGAAAAGGCCAATGCGAAGAATGCGAAGAATGCGAGCGCCGATGGCCCCAATGGCGCGAGCGTGGATGTGGCGCTGAATTTGGTGGGCAATCGCTTGGGCAGCGAGGGCCTTGCAGCCCTGCTGGAGGCGGTGCAGAGCGCCGGGAGCCGCGTGTCCTATCTGAACCTCGAGTGGAATCGACTGAACGCGGCTGCGGCGAAGTGGCTGGCCACTCTGCGCCAGCCTGGCGGGCCACCTCAGCTGTTGCTGTCCCACAACCGGCTCGGCTCATCCGCACTGCACCTGTTTCAGAGCTGGGGAGAGCAGTGGCGTCCCGGAATGCCACCCCTTTGGATCGAGGCATGTACAAGTCCCGGGATTGTCTGATTGCGTGAGCAGTGCATGAACTCGCCGGTGCCTCTCCAACGCACAAAACCAGGAACATTGTCGCACGCACGCTGAAACTGCAAAGCGTACCAAGAGTCATCCAAACACATGAATGAACATTTGTGCGGGCGTGAATGGAGACAAATCGCGTACGCATGCGCACAATGATGTGCCCATGCGCGTACTAGCGACTAATCAGACGCCCTGTCAGAACCGGCTGCAGTTTGTTGGCAATCAATTGAAGGAAACTTTTTCTTGTGAACTCATGAGGGCACTTTCCCATCATGACCCTATTCTGGACAGCCAATCAATCTGGCAGAATGATCGTGGGTGTTTTCTCTGAAGTGAATCATTCCCACTACAATCGTATATCAGGAAGGGGGGTCATCTGTGCACGTGGTGAGGTGGTCTTCGGTGCACGTGGTAAGCGGTCTTCTGTGCACGTGTTTTTTGTTGAGAATCCATGGTATTTACAGCAAATCGGCCTGGTCATCCGTGCGCGTGCTGACCAAAAAAAACTGTTTTGCTTGGGTTCTTCCACACATCAGAAGCCGGAAGTGTGTTCGAGTTGGATTGAAATCACGAAGGTTCGCAGTACGATCGTTATCTTTACAAACGTCGCATGGTTCCAGCAGTGATTCAGCTAGATTAGTCAAATGACCTTGACAATCTTTTTGGACCGCATGATTCCACAAGTGAATTAGATCATATTCTTGGACTGACTTCAGTCCTGGTTTCTTCTGTCAATTCACGTCGTGTTTATGAGGGCTGTTTCGATGATCATACGGTTCGGTACTGCAAGCTTGTGATAGCAATTGATTTTATTGATGCTTATTGCTTTGAATGTTTGATACGCGCGCAACACAGCAACGTGACGTAGTATTGAACAAAAACCTCGAGAAAGGAAATACCCTCAACTGCTGGTGTGCGGGCCTGCTGCGCGGCAGTACCAGGAGGCCGGCTCGTGTGCCGGTTTCCAGAGAAGCCAAATCGGTTTGAATGAGCTGTGAAAGCCCGAAAGGCAAGAATCGGTCCCACCCGCCGTCGTACCCCCCCCCCCCCCCCCGCATCCTCCCCCATCCCCCCCTCCCCCACCCACCCGCGTGAGTTGGCGCGCGTGAATGTCGAAGCTTACCAACCCCCCCCCCCCATCCCCCCTCATCCCCCCCTCCCACCCGCGTGAGTTGGTGCGCGTGAACGTCGAAGCTTACCAACCCCCCCCCCAAAAAAATAGAAGAAGTAGGGGGCCTGGGGGGAAGTCTGTTGAGGGTTGCCTGTTATGGTTTTTATGTTCATCTCAAATCTATGTTCCCCCTTATTCGTTTTTAAAAGAGGGTTTTTGGGGAGCTTATTTATCGTTTTCGTTAAGGTAATCATTTTGGTAATTGCCCCCCTTGTTCATTGTTGGGCTGGGGGCAAACATTTTTTTCATTTGAAAGAGTTACCCTTTTAGTAGTTATCAAGTTCTGGGGTGTTGGTGGGTCGTTTGTTTCTTTGACGTTTATCTCTACAATTATTTATTTTTGTTCTACACTCTTGACAATATTTATATCTTCTTCCACTTTTTACATTTCCAAATTCATCAATTGTTTTATCATAAAGACATCTGTTGCATTTGAAGAATTCACCATAGTCTTCTGTTGCTTTTTCTTCTGTCATTCCATAATTATTCATTATAGTTTGCTTCACAACCATTTCTTAATATATCTTAACAACTTCTTTTTATGTGATTTTTATGTGATTGTCTAGCTATGTTTTATAGGTTAAAAGTTCGCTATAATTATAACATATAAGATTTTACATGTTATAATTATGGTTTAGTTATGAATTACACAGGTTCATCAACAATTAGTTTAAACCTTATGTTTTGTACTCCTCCAAAATTCATTCTACTTCTTTCAACATCAATACATCTGTATATTGTTTGATGTGCCTCCATCATTACTTCTGTTATATTATCTATGGTTATATTATCTACAAAATCATCACTACGAAAATAAAAAACTAAAAGTGTTAAAATGGTTGTCTTCATAATTGAAATGATGAAACCTTACAAACATATTTACCTCAACTATTATCACTGTTTCATAACCGTTATCGGTTTCAATGCCATCTAACAAGCAATCTAAGTTTTCATTTTCATTAAAAACTATATCTTTGATGCTTTTTATGCTTAAAGGTATATTTCTTGAAATGTAATACTCAATTACGTGTCTCTTTATATCATCGCCATCTTCAACAGTATAGCGCTTTGTCTTTCTTTTTGTTTCTGTTCTGTCTATTTTATATCGTTGTTGTATTCTCTTTAATGTCTTAATATGATTATGTTTTATTTTCAAATACTCAGGTTCTCCTAATTTATATGAAATGATACCTTTTAATACATCAACAGGTAAGCTAGCACAATTCTCAACCATAAAATTATTATCTGACATTTTACCCCCACTCATTTTTCTCTTAATATATAAGGTTTTTTCTCTTTAAGTAGTTTTGGCTAGGGGTTGCTGGTCGACTGGTCTGGGTTTCAGGTTTAATTTAAATGTCTGTGTGAGCCAGACCTTGCTGTGTGAGCCTGACTGTGTGTGTGTGAGCCTGACTGTGTTGTGTGAGCCAGACCTTGTTACTTGAGCCATTCTCCCCTTAATTGGGGAGTTCGCCCCCCTTAATTGGGGAGTTCGCCCCCCTTAATTGGGGAGTTCGCCCCCCTTAATTGGGGAGTTCGCCCCCCTTAATTGGGGAGTTCGCCCCCCCTTAATTGGGGAGTTCGCCCCCCTTAATTGGGGAGTTCGCCCCCCTTAATTGGGGAGTTTACCCACCGTTTTCAAATCCAATGATATAACATTATAACCGAGCGACTTTGCTACTTTACCAACTGAAGAAGTACCACTAAATAGTTCTAATAAGTGCATATATTATTAGAACTATTTAGATATTAATATTTTCACATACATATCGTTGATGTTTTTCAGTTCTCTCGTGTCTTCTTATATCACATTTCCTGAAAACACCACCACATTCACATTCAATAGGTTCTTTTCGTTTTTCCAATATTGTTTCTTTGTTTTGGTGGTAGTGCTCCCTACTTTTATTACATATATGTTCTTTGTTGTTTTCTGCGTATTCCTTCCTCATATTTTGATAGTGTTCCTTATTGTCTTCCTTCCACTCATTAATTGTTCTACCTACCACACATCTATTCACACAATCATTATTTTGAATGTAATAACCTTCTCTTTTCATTAACTGTTCTCTGTTTTCACATGGGTAGTCTTCTAATAATTCAATCTTACAGTTGTCCATTCCATATTCATCAAACAACAAACGACAGTTTGTTTTATTATTCCATTGTTCTGCCTTGTTATAATTTTGTCTATGTCTTGCCATTCTTTGGCTCAAGCTTTCACAGGTGCTTCCGATGTAGCACTTATTATAACCAACATCTGTTATTTTGTAAATCTTTGCGTTTTTATATTTACTGCTATCCATTAATAACCTTAGTTATCTTTTCTTTAACGCAGTTTATAATGTCCATAAGGCAGTGAATTGAAAGCATCAATGTAAAACCTTTTATTTTCATAATTACTGAGTGATTGCTTGACTTGAGACATTGAAAATAATTGATGGTTGCGACTACGAATAAAATTATATGTTATTTCATGCTTTTTGTTTTGAAATAATGCTTCGTGGTAGTTTTGGTAAGTCAGTTCTTTCTTCACCTTGTGTTTCACTACACCTTTTGATTTCTTTTGTTCTTCTTCTTCACCGTGTATTGTAAAAGCATACGATTTAGGCTTTAACCCTATGAATTGTGTTATTGTTTGACCGTTGCACTCATCCTTGAAATAACCGAGTTTTTTCTTATTTGTTTTGTCATGGCAGGGGTGTTCAGGTGGATAATCGCTAAAGTCCATATATTGGTTTAATTCTTTGAAGTCCTTGTAGATGTCCTCAGTGAATGTTTGAATTACATAACTGTCAGTATCAGTATAAACCAGTTTGATGTTTTCATTGTATTTCTTCTTAAGAACATCATAGTAGAACTGATACATATGTAATTTACTGATGTCAAGGATTGTCATTCCTAAGAAAATCGGTTTGTCCAGTTTCAGCTTCGCTTTAGTTTTTTCAACTCCTACAAGGTTTTCATTAATAATAAATCTATTTTTGAATGTTGGATTATTAACACATTTTTCGTATCTAACTTCATTATCAACTAATTCAAAGTCCATATGATTTCGTTTGTCTTCCATAGTTTTTCCATACACAGAATTATTCATTAATTTGAATAAATCTTTCTCAAAATCGCTTTTGGCTTCTTTCCTTTTACCAGTGTTGAAATCAATCCACGGTTTCAACCATGCCCTCTGTTGAAATTTTATTATCCTATGGACTTTGGTCATTTTCATTCCCATTTTCAAATAATACTGTAAAGTCTTGATATGAACCACATATTTTTCTTTATCCTTTAGATTTAATATTAACTTACTCGTTTTCTCGTCCTTGGGACTTTTACCGTCATAATATATTTTGAAGACTTGCTTTTGATAGTCGGAAAGCATACTAACATTTACATTCATTATTTCAGGCGCTAGTGGATAGTCAGAGTGGAAGTCGTGCAATGTTTCGGGATATTCCAAATCAACTTCCATAATATAACCGAACTCATCGTTTTCATTCCATTTTTCAACACTGGGCGTTTTCTTTGCCCACTTGATATTTTTTAGCGGTAATTTCTGGGACATTGCTAAACCATACAAGTTATTAGCATCCAAGTAGCTAATATAATTTGATGGCTTGTTCTCATCATATGCTTCCCCCATATACTTATTATTTGCCACCGCTAATTTATGACTAACCTGACACATACCACCTCTCATTCCCTTTTCAACCATCTCAAACATTTCTTGGTCATGCAATTGTTCTATTTCAACACCAGTTTTTAGAAGCATCGCGTCCCATGCGAAATTTGGCAA